ATGTATTACAGAAATAGCCAAAGCAACAACAACAGGCAAAGCACTCAAATTATACCCTAAGAGAATTGGTGTGGCCATAAGGAAAAAAACAGTCTCCAACCAAAGCCGGAGTTGTAGCCTTTCAATCTCTGGGAGGTGTTTTCCTCTCTTTCTTTCTAAGTTTAACAAATATTGTTTGAGTTTAAACCTGGCTTAGAACCAAAAGAATAGGCCAAATCAACACTACAGATTTTTTTCTGTTTTGTGAGTGTATAAAAAAGGAAAATTCTTTTAATTCTCTCCTTGAAATAACACTATCAGGTTTGGAGAATTCTGTGGCAAAAAGCCTAAAGCACATTCATATCTCAGATTGGAGTTGCAGAAGGAGCCCAGCTGGCAGGCTGCCTGGGGAGCTCTGCCCACTTTGTGAGCCACCAGAGGAGTTATTTGATGATGGTGTTAGGACTGCAGCTGAGCTGCAGGATGTCAGATAAACTCTAATACCAAGAAAGAAGACAAAGGCAGCATGCTCTCATCTCTTCCCTGGGGAAATCATAGGGGAAGTTAGACTTCATTGTGGGACAGTGATGGATTGCACTGCGTAGACTTAGGAGAAAGGCTCTGGAATGAGATCCTAGAGGAGGGAAGAGTGGATTAACTGTAGGTTAAAGCAGCAAAACAGCTCTTGGAGACATCTAACAGAAGAGCTATGACCTTGACCTATGGAAACTTCCAGAAAGGACTGGAACATTAGCAATGGCAGAGGTAAGACAGGCCACCAGGAGACAGAGTACACGGCAGCTCTGACCCTGGCCTCAGGAAAACATGAAAAGTTGCAAACACATACAAATAAACAGCAACAAAAACCACATGAGAACCCTGAGACTTTGTCGGGTAGCAGATGAGCTGTGTCTTTAGCAGTCTTAGGTTCCAGTGATTCCACAGGGAGGGAAAACAGTGTCAAAAATATCTTTTGTTGTCATCATCTTATCCTTTTCTATATTCTTCAGACAGGCATCAGATAGGGAAGTATTTACATGTACAGGACAGAATTTAACCTGGGGTGTCCTTGTGAACATAAAAGGGGATGGGAATTGCACATCTTCAGACACAAGGAAACTAACAGAAGCTCATAACAGTTTACCCAGACTCCAGTGAGTAGAGCACTAGCCACAGCAGGGGTTACAGGAAAGGGAGGAAGGAGCTATGGGGTTGTACCCTCACCCCACCCCTCATCTCCCAGGGACTTAGAAATTTGTCTATTTTTTTAAAGACACGCTATGTTTCAGGACCACAGACAGCACTGTCTGGTGCTTACACCCCTATTTAGTTCTAGGCCAAGGTCTCTTACACCAGCCCAGGCTTTCAGCGCAAGCTGTGAGGAACTTTCAAGGCTACACAAGAAACTCTGAAGACCACTGCACTACCATTGGCACTGGAATGAGAAAAAGTTTTCTTTTTTCTTTCCTCCGAAGTAAGTTTTCTTTCCTCCGAAGTCTGGCCCTTGGGCTGTACTAATAACGCTAGCTAATGTTCACTGTTCATTTACTATACCTGTGTATTTGTTTCACCCTTATAATAATCCTATGAAATTAATTATAGTATTTTATTGTTGGGGAAAACTGAAAGATAAAGATACCAAAAGAAAGTAAAAGAAAGAAGGATTTAGGGGCTTTTTCTACGTAGCCCAGGCTAGCTCTGAACTTGCAGTGATCCTTCTGGTTCAGCCTCCCAAGTGCTGGCATTACAGGCATGTGTCATCACACCCAGCTAAGTGGCATTTTCTGAGTCACACAGGCAATCTAAATTCCAGAGCCCATTCCTATAGCCACTGTACCATAGCTGTGTTCTTGAGCTGTGTCCTTACCCACTTCCCCTTACCAGAGATTTGTTTCTGCTCTCAGGCAAGCCTGAATTAAATCTTATCCCACTTCCTTACATGAAGATGAGTTCCCACGCCCCTCATCACTTCCTTTTCCAGGCTAACCTGTCTCAGCCTTGTTCTCACAGCCCTCACCACCCTTATCATCACCGAGTCTGTCAATCGTGCCCTTCCATTACTTCTACAGGTATTTCCGGGGTGCCTGTGAGGCCAATGCAGAGAAAACACCATAGTCTCTGCCTCGATGACTTAATGTACTGGGGGATGTGAGAGGCTGGCACATTCAAGGAACTGCAGAATGTTTGGGAAGTGCTGTGACAGGGTGAGCCCAAGGGCAGGGTGTGTATTGGAGGGGAGGTAGATCTTGTAGAGTGTATCTAAAGGAAAGAGTAATTCTGGGAACTCTCAGCGTTTAAAACTGAGATTCATGGTTATACATCAGCAGAAGACAAGAGGTAGACTGGAGAGGTCAGCAGGGCCCAGGTCATAAAGGACTTCGTATGAGGCTGTCTTCTGAGAGGACTGGGGAGCCATGGAGGGATAAAACATGGGAGAGTGACAAGCAAATTTGGATTTTAGGAAAACTGCCTGATTGTACTTTGGAGAGAAGACTGGAGGTAGACATGGGGCTGGAGGCTGGGGATGATAAACACAGCATGCCTCTTCCTTTCCTCATCCCGGGACCTGAGCTTCTGTGACTCTGCCTGTGATGATGACTGTACTGGCATTTGCAGCTCACACTTGTTCCCCATTCAGCGCAGGGGCACGGGACCATTTCCACAGGAGAAAAGGGTCAGGACTTACACTACATCTACCATTGCCACCAATCGTTTTCAATACAGTCTTGTTAATTTCAGTCTCCCTTTTAGGATACAGTTAAAATCCTTGTGAATCTTGATCTAATCCTTCCATTTTTCTTAAGGGGAAATACTAAAAGATTTGCAGAAGGGCACATGGGTATCATCTGTGGTAGAAGCAACAGTGAACCCAGCTTTTCTAACTCCCAAACCAGGCTCACTGGTGTTCTCTGCTTCTTTTAAGAAATTGATCTGTTCATAGGAACTAAAATCAAGATTGAGTGCTAGATTGACAGGTCAGTTGGAAGAACAAGTTTTAACTTACATATGCCAAAAGCAGGGGCCCTACACCCCTTTCTAGTATATCCTTCTGTTGTCTGAAGTGATCCCTGAGTTTAAATGTAGCACCCAGAGGATGGTATTACAATCTTTGGCAGAGGATCATAATAGTTCCAACCCAGTCACTGTGACAATTAACAATGTCGAAAAGATTTTAGAGTATCCCATAAGTGAAAAAAAATTGTACAGACTAATGAATCTCTAACAAAAACTTCTCCATATATTAAAGTGGTTGAGAACTTAAAAGCAGGGGACTTGACAGATGATGGGGGAGGAGAGAAGCCAACAGAAAACACCTCAGGTTGAATTCCAAGAGAAGGAGAGGCCTAATGTGCTGGGACCTAATCTACTTGGTCTCCAGGCAGCTGCTTTTCATAGCCCCGTGACACCTCGCAGCTGGACCCTCCTTGTCAGTGTCTCTCTTAAGCTTCCCCACAGTCCTGGGAATCCATAGCCCTCTGAGCTGGAGCTGCACATCCAGAATCAGTCCATTCCACACCTCCACTGGCTTGGTCCTCTTTTACTTTTCTTTGCTGGTAATGCTTTAAAACAACAACAACCCAGAATAGCCCTCTACTTCTGTTGAACCCCTTTACTCACAGGCTGTCACTGCATCCTGCACTCAAATTCCCATTGCAAGTTCACCCAGGCAGTGCACTCTTCGTAGCCCCTATGCTTAAGCCAAACGCCATAACCAAAACATTAGAGCTGTCAGCTGAGCAGGAATTTTATTGGTGTCTTCAAAATAAGCACATGCAGGACGAGGATTTAGCTCAGCGGTTCAAGCACTTGTTTGGTAAATGCAAGGTTTGATCCCTGGCACCAAAAAAAAAAAAAAAAAAAAAAAAAAAAAAAAAAAGCACACACTTGTCCTCTAGTAACTCCTGATTGGCCAAGCTCCATAAAAGGAGTAAAAGCAACAAAGAGCAATTCCAAAATATGTTCTTAGGGAGAGACTATATAAGCCCTTTATTTACTTTTCACACAACAGGCACAGAAACGTTTTTGAAAAGAAGAGAATAAACCAAATAATGTGCATTTTGCTGTTCCAGCTGGAAAGGAAGTCCCACACAGCCTGGACTGAGACAGTTGCTTGGATCCCACACCCTTTCCTTGCTAACAAATCTCTTCCCTCAAAGCAGTGGCCTGAAGAAATTCTATTCAAGAAACTGTGTGCAACAGTTTCAATAAGCCATCAATAAAACACTTATTTTTTCATGGTACTGGTGATTGAACCCATGGTCTCCACAATGAGCTTCATTCCCAACCTTTTTTTAGCTTGAGATAGTGTTTCCCTAAATTGCTAAGTTGCCCAGGGAGGGTTTGAATCTGCTTTCCTGCCTCAGCCTCCTGAGGTGCTGGGATTACAGGTTTGCACCACCATGTCCAGCTACCAGAATACTTTTAGAGCATTTTCTATAACCTTCTATCTGACTTTTCACACATCCTTGAAAGCTTTGTTGAAATGAAATGTATTTGTGTTCAGCCACTCCAACTGCCACTCTTCCATGCCAGGAAATTCCGAAATGTGGCAACAGATGCCCCTTACAAAAAGTCTCGCCTAGCAGGAAAGAAAAGCTTTGCTAACACTGAGCACTTCAGAGGCTTAAACACAAAGCACATTAAAAGTAACAACTAAAAGAACACTTACTCTTCTCACCTTCCCTACAGACGAGGCAGTCGTCAGAGGAGGAGTGGTCCACCTTAGCGTTTTAGGGTCCTGAGTTTAACCATCCCACAGAACTGTGCAAGCGCTGCGCCCAGGTCCTTCTAAGTTCCACATTCCTCAGTCTCTGCATTATTCTTGCAAAGCCAGCAAACTTACCTAACGACAGTGAGTAGGTGAACCTCTCAGTTCTGATGCTTCAGCTCTTCCAGGGTGAGGAATTTTACAGGAGGATTCTTCGCGGCGCCACCAGCCAGCTCAGCCCAGGCAGCAGTCCCACGCTGCAGCCTCCGGGCTCCCGGGTGCGCGCCTCTTGGGGCAGGCGCACTCCCGACCCCCCTTCTCCACACCTGCCCAGCCCCCGTGGCGGCGGGTGACTTAGACCTTGATGCAGTCAGGTGCAAGGCTTTTGCTGTACGATTGCTTCACACCAGCAGGCTCCGTCTGTCCAGAGCTGGAAGAGGTAGGAGTTTTCTTAGGAGATGAGAATTTAAAAAACAAAAAACAAAATCAGCTTTCTATGTGTGGTTCTGATGCTTACAACATCATCTCTAAGAAGAAATAATTGGAAATAAACTGCCTGTCTGGGGAATGATTTTAGTTTATGATATTTGCATATAAAGGAGTAAGAAAGAGGAGGTTCTGCTGCTAAAAAGGTCTCTCCGATTATGCGGCTGGGTGAATAATAATAAAAGTAGGTTCCAAAGAGTAGTTACAGTAAGATCCAAATCATGTTACTGTGTGCATATACTTAGGAAAAAATGGAAGTGAGTCACAAGAAAAAAATTGGAAGGGGAAACTCAAGAGTAGAGGTGGGATGAGTGATCTCAGTTTTTCTGCATTTTTTTGAATTTTCCATTTTACTTTGTGTACATGCACAGCACTTTTTACAAGGAAGGGGGTTTGGAAAGATTCCTTCCTTGGCTAATGAAAAATATTCTTAACAAGCAGCCAAGAGCTGCCAACAAACCAAAGTGCTCCATCAGCAACCAAGTTCCCACAGATGGTTTTAAAAAGAGAAACTCAATTTCCTAGAAAAATATTTACATGAATTCCACCTAGAAAGAAGGCAACTTCAGAAGGTAGGTTTTGGGACTCCCCCAAATTGAAAAGTATTAACTTACTGCATTTACGATTATATTTGATAGGTTCGAAAATTGCAGCACATGCAAGAGAGTGAAGTAAACCCACAGGCACTCAACGTGAAATTTCATTAATTAACATGGCTAATCCTGTTTTAAGCCTAACCCACTCCCCACTCTCCTCTCACCCCCAAACATTATACCATTCTGTGTGATATGTATCCCTGTCATCAGACTCTTTATTTTTTAATGACTCTGTATTCTTTAAACACTGTGATAGTCATTAAGATGTACCTCTTTAAAAAGTTGTAAATAATGTTATTTTTTCCTTAATTATCCAATATTTAAATTTCTACACAAGATCTGCATATTATATTTAGTTGCTCAATTGTGCCCATTTGAATGTATAGGTTTCTCTCCCTATTTTTCCTTGCATTTTATTTGTTGAAGAAACCAATTGAGTTTCCCATATTCTAGATTTATATACCTATGGTTTTTTAAAAATTTGATTTTGTAATGACAGGGGTTGAACCTAAGGCCTTAGTGCATGCTAGGCAACCACTCCACTATTGTGCTGATCCCTAGTTGACCTGTGGCATTTATTTATTTTTTATTTTTGACATTTTTAAAAACATGCCCTTTTGTCCTTTCTATTTTCCGTAAATTGGTAGGTAGATCTAGACTTGGCCTGACTTGGGTCTAATTCTTCGGCTGTAATACTTCACAGATGGCATTTTATACTACTGTCAGGAAATAGGAAATGTCTTGTGTTTTTCTGTTTGTTATATTAGCTGTCCTTGATGATGATTATGGGTTAAATTTTGTTCCTCAAGGCATGTCGATCTTCTAACTCCCCTGCCCTGTCCCTGTGAGTCTGACCTTATTAGGAAATAGTTTTTTGGAGTTTTTTTGGTTTTTGTTTTTACAGATGTATCAGGTTTAAATGTGATCATGTGGGATTATGGTAGGCCAGAAAGCAGTCCTCATAAGAAGAGGGAAACTTAAACACAGATAAAGAAGACATCGTGCGACAACAGAAGCAGATAGTGGCAAGAGGCATCTAAGTAACAAGCCAAGGAATGCCAAGGATTGCTGGCATACCAGAAGCTGGGAGAGGAAAGAAGAGGCCTGCTCCAGCACTTCAGAGGATCATAGTCCTGCCAGTGACTTGACTTTGCATTTTTAGCTTCCAGAACTGGGATAATAAATTCCCGTCATTTCAAGCCTCCCAGTTTGTATGCATCGTTATAGCAACTCTAAGAAACCAATACCATCATCCTCACCCAGGACAGTCATTGTTTAACAGGGTTTGCAAAATAGTGACATTCTTTGTTATCATCTGGAATACTCCTTATAAAAAGTAACAACCTCTCTTCCACTATTTTGTTATCCTGAAGTTTAATTTAAATGCAAAGATAGATTCTTTCTCTTTACTTTTATGCTTTCAGAATGATGAACTGGTTCCCCAGCATCATGCAAAGCTGAACAACAGTGTGTATTTTTCTTTTAAATACACTACAGACTTGTGAGAGTAGCTCGAACCTATTCAGTTACTCTTATTCACATTCACACTGACCCATTGTGGCCAGGTGGGAGCTTGACAAGTTGACCTCCGAGTTCTATTAACACAGTCTCAGGGATCTCTGATGTTTTGCTTTTTAGCTTGGACATCATGGTATTGAGCTTATCATGTGCAACTCCTGCTCCACATCATCCATGTTGCCAGAGTCCTGATTCCATTTTAGTGGGAAATGGAACTTAGTCTGGTGCTAAGAACACATATTATATTTGATTAGTCATTTCTTCTAAGACTTACTAGTTTTTTAAAATAATAAACTCTCATCAGTCCATACACTAATACTTTCTTGATAAATTTAAGATTTTATTCTTTTATTTTAATTTTGCTTTGTTTTTTGAAACAGGACTTCTCTACATAGCCCCAGCTGGCCTCAAATTCATGGCAATCCTCCTGCCTCAGCCTCCCAAGTGCTGAGATTACAGCTGTGTGCTACCATGCCTGGATGACTAGTGATATTTGAGTACCTTTTCATATATTCCTGGGCCTTTGGACATTTGGGGATACGAACACTTTGTCTTTTTTTAAATTTTTATTTTAAAGATAATGACATCCAACAAACCAAAAAAGCCACAATAAAGCTAATGAGAACAGAGCAATAAAAGTGATGCAGAACTTCAAAATAAGATAATAAGAAATCAAAAATGGTTACCATAATGTCTCTTGTTTTCTTTAAAATAGCTGTCCATATCATCAGACATAATAAAACCAAACAAAACAGAACAGAATAAAACAATCCAAACAAAACAGTGAAAGTGATACAACATTTCAAAACAGGATAACAGAATATCATCAATGGCTACCATAACGCCTCTTGTTATCATCAAATTGCCACCCATACCATCAGACATGACAAAATGAAACAAAACAAAACAAAATGAAATCAATCAAAACAGAACATTGAATACAACAAAACAGAACAAAGTAGTGAGAACAATACTAGCCCTCAAAATCTAAACAGAAGAAAATCCCCCTTATTTGTTACACTGCACACTTTTTTCCTCTCTATAGATACCCAGATCACTGGCCTTTAGGCCTAAAAAGTCAACCAAACAACAGAAGCATTAAGTTGTTTTGGTACCTCAGATGCTATCAACTCAGCCTGTCCTCTGAATCAGCTGGTTGCTTACAGTGGAAGGAGCTCTTGTCTCCCAGCCTGTGCAACAGTTGGCTCCAAAGAAGGGTGCATTAGCTTCTTGTTCTCTTGTTACTCCTCCCAGGCCCAGCATGGCTTCTGCTGATTCATAGGCACGATGGATTTGGCTTGTTCTCCTCTCAAGACCCACATGGTTGTGCTGAGTCCCAGGAAAGGTGAATTCACTCTTCAACTTACGATGACTAAATTTATTTAATAATTTCAATAGGTTATAGACTCCTTAGACTTTTCAATCTCCACAACCATGTTGTATGTAAATAAATACAGATGTATTTCTTCCTTCCCAATCTTTATTTTTTCATGTATTCTTAAGTTTTTTTTAATAATCCAGGCACCTATTTTTAGATGTATTGCAGCAGATTATATAAACCTTAAGCCACCTTACTTTTTTACTTAATGGTATGTCCTGGGGTGCCATATGCCAGGATATAGAGAGAATAATGCTTTTTAATTATAGGAAGCATAAAGGTTATCAAAGCCTGGAGACACTGTCGGGGAGGGGAGATGGAGACCTTTTGGTCAGTGGCTATGAGGTTGGAATCGTGCTCCACAAAGCTCTTTAGCATAGCAGGGTAACTACGTTGGCAATAATTATTTCAAACTAGCCAGCAATGATGATTTTGGATATTTCCTACCTCCTAAAAATGATAAATATCAGAGCTGATAGAGATGCTACGTTATGGTTATCCTACAAGTGCTAAAACCTCATGTGCTCATAGGTGGGGTTTTTGGAGCTGGCTGTGATAGTGGGATTAAGGGTGTTGTGGCACTAAATTAGCCCACTGATTGGAATTAGCATACTTCTAGATGTGCCACCCAAAAGGCTTGTAGCCTGGATGGAATAAAAGGGAAAAGTAGGCCAAGTGCCGCTGCCTCTCTGCCTCCTAACTGCTCTGCCAGGGGATCTTTCTCCTGTCTTGAAGCCGGCCAACTATAGACTGAAACCTATATAGACTGAAACAACTATAAACTGAAATTACTATGTCAATTTAAAAGTTTTTAAAAGAATATTGCTCAGCAAAAACTTTACTTAGTTCAAAACGTGACAATCCTGAAAAATTTAGAAAAACCATGTCTTAATGAAGATGAGACTGAAAGAACTTTTTTTGGCACTCAATCTGAAGCAGCACTAAAAAAATAAGAGACAAAGAGTGAAAAGGCCTTTAATGCAGACACGGGAGCTGCAAAAGGGTGCAGGAGCTCTCAGTGAGAACAAAGAAGTGGTGCTACTTTTACCAGGTCTGGCTGGGGGAGGAGTTTGGAAGGCGGACGAAATGACATATTAACAGCTGATTTGAAGGAGCATCTGCCTGCATAAAACGGGAAATGGAAAGCTTTACTGGGGGCTGGGGTGGAGGCTTGGGTGGCTGTGGAGTCTTGGGAATGGAGAGCGCTTGGCACATGCACAGAAAAGGAGTGGGAGGTTTATCTCTGGAATGAGAAGGAGAACATACAAGTTACTCTTGCAGAGATAAGTTGCTTCTCTGGGCCCAGTACCAAGTTAGGCAGATGTCATGTTACAGATAATAAAATTGCAGGCACATATTTACTGGGCTTTCCCTTTATTGGCCACATAGTCTTCTTCTGGTATTGTACTATGAACAACTTGACAAGGTCTAGTTATGGGAGACTAGTGAACCTTGCTTCCTGACTGAGAGTCAGAAATTCACACAGCCACCTAAGAAAATGTTCCCCTCAGGAGCTGCATTTTGCAGTGCTGGAGATTGTACCATTGTAGCCTTTGCACTGGGCTACATCCCAAGTCCTTTCCTTAAATTATTAACTTTGAGACAGTGTCACACTAAGCCACAGAATTGCCCAGGTTACGGTCAAGCTTGTGATCTTCCTGCCTCAGCCTCCCAGAGTGCCTCCTCTATAGTTGTATTAACTCCTCTGTTATCAGGCTCTCCTCTCATGCACCCTGTTCCAATTCATCATTTCATCACTCATGATTCTGAAAGGTTCATTGTCTAACTCCTGAAGTAATACAGAGAATAGTACTTTAGCCAGTCATTGTGTGCATTTCCCCAAAACGCAGTGAGTGCGATTTTATCTGTGGAACTTCTTGGATTTAGCAGTTTGTACCTTTAAAAGAATCTACTCATAGGAAAATTTTTCTTATTAGCTGCTGCAATTTTATTTAAAATCATGGGGTATTACGGTTGGGCTTTCCATCTAGACCAAGAAGATACTGCTCGAATGGAATCCATATCCAGCACTGCACCTAACACCCTCTGAGCATCCTGTGAGTGGATGAAGCCATAAAGCTGCCAAAGTTTTAAATGCACTTTTTCACCCAGCAACTTCACCCACATAAATGTATAACAAAAATACAAAAATACAAGTCTATGTTCAAAGATGTTTATTTCAGTATCATTGGTGATACAAAAAAGAAGAAAATCTGAAAATAACCTACATGTTGATTAATAGAATACTGGTCAAATTATGATGCATCCATAAAGTAGAAGCAGATATTTAAAAGAACAAAAATTATCTGACTGTATTGTTGTATCATTTAAAATAAATTAAGTAGAAAGATGAAAAATAGTGGGAATAATAAATTCACATGAATGTAAGTTTGAAAATGAGTTATATGATGGGAAAATAAATCTATAAAATCTATGTATCCAGGTACAGGTACTAATTTTCTGGAGGGATACCCAGTTAACTGCAATCAGTGTATACTTCTAGGTCAAAGAGCTGGTAGGCAAAAACAAATGGAGAATTTAACTTTCTAAAATCCAAAAAATGTTAGCATATATTCTTATTATTTTTAATGAAACATATACATTTGAAAAAATAACAGTTGACTGGCCTCTATTTACATAGGAGAACACAGTCACACAAATCTTGAAGTGGTACATTCTATGAGACTAAAAAAATCCATATCAATTAAAAAAAAAAGAAAGGACTGTGTTACGTTAGACTAAAAAGGCATTACAACCAAATATAAGTGTATCTGGAAGGGATAGTTAATTTGTGCAGGGTAGGGTAAAATTAGACGTAAAAGACATATTTGGGGACAAATGGAAAATTGTAAACGAGATGAATATTATGTGATGATTTTTTATAACTTTAAATCATTTTCCTTTTTTCCTGACAACACAAATCTAATACTTCATCATGCTGGCTCCAGATGTCAACTGTGACTGTAAATGCAGCACTGCTGTTCAGAATGAAAGTGAGCTATTGCATATTGTGCAGGTGCCTCTGCTGAGGGGATCTTGTCCTGTGGGCCAGGTCCTTCAGGGCAGCAGAGGGGAGATGAGCAGCTGCCAGGGCCAGCTGTTGTCCAAGGCCAGCTGAAGTGTCAGTGAGCAGGACTTGGAATAGCACATTGTGTCTCTGTGCTGACCTGAGTGTAAAAGCAGTCAAATGAAACTGAATTTCTTTGGATGTGATTAAGCATTGTAGATATCTCATGGAAAACCTTTATTTTTAGGAAATATATGCTGAAGATTTTAAGATAAAGTGTTACGGTGTCTGCAGCT